GGATGTTGAATTTGCAGTTTAACATAATGTACTTTTGCATCAGAATTGACAGTAGCCTATTTTGTGCATAGTTATTTCCTGTTTTTTGTCTGTACATTTGACAGCTTTGCTGCCTTGTTATAAACAAATACTACATACAGAACTGCTGTGCATATAGTCTTCAAACAAAAATACTGACTGACACACTATTTCACCCAATATTTTTTCATTTCAGATAAAAAGACCAAGGACAAAATCAAAATAATTTTATGACCAGAGGGAAATAGAGCTCAAATTGGTGAATAATATGTATTTACCCAACAAACATTTATCTATATAAACATAATACTGAGTATACTTAATATATATTAGTTCTGCCTATGAACACTTATAACATCTAAAGCAGTGGCATCTTCTTGCTGCTCCTTTCCCGAGCTGGCAGAGTACTAGTAATGTCAGATGAGCGTTTAAATCTCTTATGTAGGATGCAGTTGTCTCCGCAGTCCAAGACACCAGACACTGTGCTGGAGTGGAAATATATTTATTTAGATGGTATAACCAGAAAGACAGACAACCTACTAGAGTCCATTGACAAGTGCAGAAATGTTGAGAATATCAGTGCATCAAGTAACATGCTATCTTCTTTGCCACAGTCCATATCCAACCTGCCACACCTCACAGAGTTGAACCTCTATAACAATATCTTCACTGCATTTCCCATAGTACTATGTGGCTTGACTAACCTAAAAGTGCTGTGCCTGTCTGGTAACCTGCTTTCTGACATACCAGTGGATATCAGCAGGTTGAAGGTTCTTGGAATATTTTACCTCAATCACAATGCCTTCACTACTTTCCCCATAGCACTGTGTGGACTGACTAACCTAGTGGAGCTGTACCTGTCCGGCAACCAGCTATCTGACATACCAGTGGATATCATCAGGATGGAGGAGCTTAGTATATTCACCCTTGAAAGCAATGCCTTCACTACATTCCCCATAGCACTGTGTGGCTTGACTAACCTAAGGAAGCTGTACCTGTCCGACAACCAGCTATCAGACATACCAGAGGATATCACGAGGATGAAGGGGCTTAGAATATTCCGGCTCAGTAACAATGCCTTCACTACATTCCCCAAAGCACTGTGTGGCTTGACTAACCTAGTGGAGCTGTACCTGGCTGACAACCAGCTATCTGACATACCAGTGGATATCACGAGGATGGAGGGGCTTAGAATATTCTGGCTCAATAACAATATCTTCACTACATTTCCCATAATACTGTGTGGCTTGACTAACCTAATGCATCTGTACCTGGTTAACAACCAGCTATCTGACATACCAGTGGATATCACCAGGTTGATTAAACTTGAGAAACTTATCCTGTATTACAATAACATCACCCACCTGCCACCTCAGATGAGGAGTATGGAAAGTCTAACAGATCTAGATGTGGCATATAATCCTCTGGTACAACCACCTAAAGATATTGCCAGTAGGGGACTAGATGCTATTAAGAGGTATTTGGATGCATTAGCTGACACCAAGGCAATCCAGTCAAGTAGAATACAGATCAACTTTCTTGGTGAAACAGAAGCAGGAAAAACTAGCATTTCACGTACACTGCAACTCGGAACGTCAGCCCTCACAAAGATGGCAGACAGGACAAGAGTGGTGGAGCAGGGAACATGGGAGGCTGATGAAGATATTGGTTTCAATATCAATGACTTTGGTGGACATGATGTCTACAAAATAGGACACCCTATTTTTATATCCAATCGTGGTTTGGTTTTAATCACTTTCAACCTGTCTACATACGATCCAGAAAAGGAGGGTCATTATCAGCTGCACATTGGAGACTGGATTGACAAGGTGCAAGCACAGATGCCAGGGATACAAATAGCACTAATTGGAACTCATCTTGATAGGGTCTCAACCCCACATGTAGAAAGAAAATGCTCTGCAATAACCAGGCAGCTTGAAGACCATGCAAATGAAAAGAAAAAGTGGTATCAAGCACAAAAGGAGACATGTGAGAACAAATTGAAAGAAATAACCGAAGCCCAAGAGTCTCTCCACCAGGCCTACCAAAGCAAAGCAGCTCATCTGCAGACCTTGTACGGTCAAATTAAACCCATCAATTGGCATATTTTTAAAGTGAGTTCAGAAACCTATGAAGGAGTTCCAGAGCTGAGAGACTACCTCGTTTCTTTTGCCAGGACAAGTGCTGAAGTTTTGCCAGGAATGTGGGTGGATGCAGCCAAGAATATCTGCACAAAGAAAATTGAAGGCTCTGAAAACACACTTGGCTGGGAGGTGATTGAAGACCTCATTCTGCTAAATGCACCTATACCATGGAGAGAGAAAAATTCAAGGGAGGAAAAAGACAGAATGATTTGTGACATCTTAACTTTCCTAGCTCACCGTGGAGACATAATATGGTTTGATAGATGCCCTTCACTAATGAAAGTTGTTTTCCACAAACAAGAGGTTCTTGTGAATGTTCTCAAAGCAGTCCTCACACATGATCAAGGTGAAGTATCACAGAAGCTCCAGAAGTCCATGAAGATTACAAGAAGGAAAGCACTCATAATAGAAGAAGAAATCTTCAGCAGAGGAATTGTTTCTAAACAAGCTATGAGCTGCCTATGTGAGCCTTTCAAATTGTCGACCACTGAAGTTGATGCCATGACAGAACTCATGAAGAAACTGAAACTGTGCTATCAAGTCCAGGAAGATGAATCCCTTCCATCCAATACCTCATTCCACTTTCCATGGCTGCTCACTGAAGAAAGACAACCTGAGCTAGACACCAAATGGCCCAGCAAGGTTCCCCCAGACACCACACAACTTACCCTGCAGGTTTTCGTTCCATATAGATGTCCAGATGGCTTATATGAGAAATTTTCTGTCCATCAGCACAAGCACCTTGGACTTTTGAAGACCCTGCGAATGGATTGGAAGGATGGAGTATATGCAGAACTTGAGGGATGCAAAATGCAGGTGACACGGGAACAAAACCAGACAAATCCTGATGCAGTCAGCCAAGATCCAGACTGGGTTATCAGCATTGCTGTCCGTGGATCACGTCTCTTAGACATGTGGCGTGTTCTCACACAAGGCCACAGTGACCTCATGGACATCATTAACGAGGACTGGCCTGGGCTGTCATATGACAAGTACCTGGTGTGTCCCCACTGTGTGAGTGAGGACAGTGAGCACCCAACCCTCTTTCCTGGAGAGATACTTGACCAAGTCATTGGAAATTCTTCAAAACCAAGACAGGTGCCATGTGTCAATACTGGTGTCTCCATTCCTGCAGACCTGGTCTACCCACCACACCTGGCCATGAGCTGGCAGGAAGGTAAACACAGTACTGTAATAATATTACCCCAGTGATTTACTACTTCACTTTCCTTTGATCTCAATCTGTTGGGAATTTTTTTATATTTTCTGGAATTTGCCTGTTTATGATTAAATGCATGGAGCAATGGAAATTACTCTTTGTTGGTTATTTGTGTATTAAGCAGCTTAGGGGTCTAGTTTTATGTATACATGTACAATAAAATTTCAGTTTTTTACTTAAATTCAGTGATAAAAGGTGTTCCATTGGTCATCTGCTATTAGAGCCTTAATTGAAATATTGGCCATTGTCTGACACATAAAGGTGGCAAAAACCTTTCATCTGGTAAGTAATATGTGTTTAGCTTTTAACAAACACACACTTTTAATGATTTACAGTTTTGCTCAAAGAAAATCCAAAGCTATGTGAAAACATCACAGAACCTTGCCTCCTGGACATGTTGAATATGTTCCTCCAAGAAGGCATTATCACCGACCGTGAAGCAGAGACAGTGAAAACTGAGCCCTCAACTGACAGGGTGAAATGTCCAAAAAAAGTTGCAGTATTCTTGGACATTCTAATCAAGAAATGTGACGGGGCACATGTTACACTGTGTCAATGTCTTCAGGAACAAGGACAAACTGATCTTCTTGAATTGATCCAGTAACAGAGACTTTTCAAAGCACAGACATGCTGTATACCGGTAGATGTACAGAATGAGAGTACAGTGGGTGTTCATTTATTGGTAAGAAGGTTTGATAACAAAGCAAATTGCTGATAGTTTCCAGTCTGGTAAAATGCTCTGACTTACTGATGTATGTATTGATTACACCAAGTCTAAAGACAGCCAGATTGACAAGGTGAAGGTCAATAGTGTCAAAGTGAAGGTCATGCTGATAGAAACTATGAAGTGTTTTATCACTGTTGTAACAGGAACAGTGTCTTTTCTGTGGCACATATTTTCCACAGCAGTACCTAGGTCAACTAAAAGTTCATCAGGTACAAAGTGTATAACATTTTGAACAATGCAGTATTCAGCAAGAAACTCATCTGTTGTAATACATACTAGTATCTAAAGTCCTTTCCACATTACATTGTCATAGTATACTTGTATTTATGTCCATAAGAACCAAAGTGTAAAATATGAACATGGGCCATCTGCAGTCATGTATAACCAGTATATACATTTCCTTTATAGGGGTTGTACTGTGTTTAGTACATAAAAAAATTTCTTGGACATCTAATGTCAGATTCAAAATCTTTGGTGTGGTTGGCTTGAAAAGAAAATTAAGTAAAAATGCTACTTGTAATAATGTTTTCATAAACAGTATTTATAAATTAGCTGGATATGATAATCAAGTTGGTCATGGCTTTTGTTCAGACTTCAGCAGCCCAAGTAAATGTGGCTTTTATTTCTATTTCTTTACACAGGTTTGTGCATTTTTACACATGAATGTAAATACAGGAAAATATTCAAACATGCATTATATTATGTTTAATATAGTAGGGTTTATACGGTACAGTTTAGAATGTATATCTTACAATATTGCATATTTCATGTATACTGATTATATATTAATGTATCTGTTTTTTGCTAAAACTGTGCTGACTGTACAATTAAGTTGCTGTATGATATAGTCGTGTTGCTATGTACTACCGCTTTCAGATCTTATTTCAAATTGAATCAATTACAGTATAAGGATTTTTTTCTATTTTCAAAGTTTGTGTCAGATAGCGATTTTAAAAGTAGTTTCTTTTAGTATATTAAGTTCATTCTCTCTCCATGTGTAAGTGTGACAATAGATCAGACATACACATGCTTTTCTCATTGCCTTCAATGTGATAGTCAAAAAATGTGCGTGGCAGAAATGACAAATATAATTTTTTGTACATATGTTTATTTGTTACTCTGAAAATATTTGCCTCTCACTATGTACAGTACAATTAACTTTCCACCTTGATATTAATGCCACTGTAAACAACCCCGTAACACCCCATTTTACCACCATAAGAACATTTTATTTTTACTAAAATTTCTTCTTCATGTAACAGATGTTTATATCCACAAGACAATACTAATTTCACTTTTTTTAAACTGCTATATTCTAATATTAACAGTTTCTGGTGTTGGTAGTTCTCCTCTCCAACTCTTGTGACAGTTTCAGTAAAAGTGAACAAACTCCCAATTCAATGAAATAATTACACCTCACCCGAAAAAATTAATGGAATACATAAACTCCAATGTTATATCTCCTTGTCAGCTGATATCTTCACTAAGAACAAGTCTGCATACCTCTCTGTAGTAAGTCTAACATAACTGGGTACACAGCAGCAAACTCCTTTCCCTCTCTGACACGCACAGTCTGCACATAGGACTCAAGTGTGCCCCTGGAAATAGTTAATTTTTTTATCACAGTCTGCACATAGGACTCCAGTGTGCCCCTGGAAATAGTTAATTTTTTTATCACAGTCTGCACATAGGACTCAAGTGTGCCCCTGGAAATAGTTAATTTTTTTATCACAGTCTGCACATAGGACTC